CAATCTTCGAATCTCTTCATCTCACTCTCTTGCTTCAACTGGGAATAAGATATTTATCTAGACAAGTTCTAATAAATCTTGTAACTTTTAAAGGAAGATACTTTTTGAGCCTAAACTTAAATGAACTTTAATATCACTTCTATTCTGTATATTTTGCTAGGTTAGCTACCACTTAACTATATTTAACTCAATTCACCGTATATTAAAGTTATTTATCTGCATTTTATTTGCACTTATGTTTTATTTAGGAATTGGATCGATTTAATCTGCTCATCAGAAGAATGAATCATTCTCTTACAATCCTTAAACGCGCTCTTGTCGGTGAAGCTGTTATGTCATCCGAATTGGATGATCTAGCCAAATGTTTGTATAACGGTCATTTGCCCGGTGAATGGCGGCGGCTGGCACCTGCCACACTTAAATCTTTGGCCAATTGGATCTTACATTTCAAGGCCCGAGTGCAACAATACACCTCCTGGGTAGGTATAGTGTTCGATGAATGTACCTTAATTGTAATGGCTGTTTTATCGCTTCCATCAGACTCGATAATATTTTTGCCCCATGTTACTGCGAAATGTCGACAGCATCTAAACTGTCGAAATCCGCAGTCTCTGCGAGCATTGTTACAACTGACTCGAAGGGCCAGACATACGACATCAGTCTGGGCTTCTGGCAGCATGGCCGTTCTTAAACTTGAAGGCTTATTTGTAAGGCAAGATTTATCGTTCGTTCATAACGATATAATGGATTCATAAATTCTGTTGGTGTGGCAACGATTTCTTATAAAGTTTTAATGAGGCCTTTCAAGGAAATTGTGATGAATCTTTTAAATGCAAAGATCTCGTATAGAGATCAACTCGGCGCATACTGATTATGGGTACCAATCTTCCATAAAGGCTAATAAAAACCTATTTTTCAAGCTAAAGGCCGACACTTACTAGATATTGAGCTGATCGACTTTATGACACTGGATATAAGTCAAAATTGCATTAGTGCTTGGGTCGCATCGGCCCCTTCCTCTACCCTACCGGTTTTGCTAATCAAAGGCATTTAGTCCCATAGCAATGACTGAACAGCACAGAAGGCTCTAATTTACAAATGTGGCCGATACTTTATTGGATATTGCATAATTATTTCGATGTTGCTTGCATTCATACGGAAACTTTACCAGCCAAGCTGGCAAAGCATAGGAATTTTTACTTTTAATGAGGAAATGCTGGGTTTGAAAAATACCTTAGTAATTTAGTGCGACTATACTTTTATTTCGGGGGGTAAGTCGGTTAAAAGAGATTCGTGAATTTGTCGTCATGGCGACCAAAGGGGGACTGTATAAGGTTAAATTCTGTTGGATTGTGTGTAGAAGTCCTCAGCTCACCGTCTTGCTACCCAAATGAATCCTCACTGAAGGTTCGTCTGACCTATGTTATTGTTGAGCTTACTTCCATTTCGAGTGAAAGTGTTGGGTGAAGAGATTCCAAGGTCGGTTCCACCAGAAGACGACGGCGGATTCCTCTTGACCAGCTGTCGATTGGCTTTACTTGAAGATTCATGCTGACGCTGTCTCCGAGGCAATCTCCTTCGATTCCGGTGAAAAGGTGCTTTTGTCCGTCATATTACGGACATCATCAGAGCGAGATAACATCGTCACAACAAAATTCAAGCTAAAGAATTGAGAAAAATCACCGGCGAATCCTTAAAAAGTGGTACATATACTCTACATCTGGCCTCTTTGATCAAGTATAAAGTGATTTGGTTAGTTAAGGTCATATTTCAACTATGATGCATGTGAGTGTGTCTGTCTCTGTATGTGTATTTGCCTGTTTGTGCTCGCTTATGCACGAAACACGCAGTGATCGCTCAAAAGTAATTAGGACAGCAAAAAGGAACGTCTGTTTTTGGCCATCAA